CATTTACTAGCCGAAGGTTTTAATGTGAATTTATTAAAAATATTGGAACAATACACTGTCCCAGCATTCTGAGCAGAAACATTCTTGGGAAAATTTTTTTTAAGGGAACTAGGCACGATTTTTGATGTTGCGGTCTTTTTGAAATGCAGTTACTTTGATTTCCTTCTTATCACGTCTTGTTATCCGCATTCTTTATTACATGATAAAGTTTTATAAAGTGACGCCTCAAATTCTCCTTGCATTCATCATCCTCATAACACCGCACTAACCTCCTTATTACGTTTACCACTTTGTTTAATGCTCGGTTTTGATAACGCGGGCACTTAACGCCCTGCTGTTGTACCTCTGCTGGGCGGCATGGTCTCTAGGTTATGCCCGTGGCCCTGCAACCCTTCTGGAGGATCCGGGGCACTACACTGGCGGCAGCGAAAAGCGAACTCGATCCTAAAAGTCAACTATTCTGGTTTCTATCACTTGATGCTAAACTTTAATATGACGGAAGAAAGGTATATGCTAAGGATGGGACAATCTGCGATAACCTCTAAAAGAAGAATTAATTATAATATCTGCCTTCAGCAACTACCCCCGTCCCATTTCCTGCAGGAATGCTATTAATAACTGAAGCGACATTAGCCGTGAACCGTTTGGAAGTGCCACAGGGCTGTCAACGACGCTCGGATCGAGGCGTCAATTAAGTGAAGGCACAGTACCTTCTTTACCTCTATTAGCTGAATAGGAGACAGATAGGTAGGGCTGAGCAGAACTTAAATGAAAACAAGGTGGCAAGGAGGAAGAAACACAAAAAATTTTTCCCACGAAATTATTTCAAGCCCCCTCCTTTAACCAACTCTGCTTGTAAGCCAGCATTCTTACCACGTGCACGATGACCTGCTCATTCACCTTCCCCTATTACAGTTCCTAAAGGGGACGAAACTCCAGATCCAGTGAAATTGCTAAGAGAGAGCAGTGACGTTGAGATCAAATATTTTCTCAATTGCAGGCATATTTGATGACTGGTGTGGATGGTTCGTGGCTGTTTTCCTTACAACACCGACTACTTTGAGACGTCCAACTTGGGGGGTGCTCAGATTAAGCAACTGGGGAGCCGCTTAAAAGAAGAGAGGGGCTCTGTACTAACTGAGCTGCTTTTCAAACTCATTTTTGGTTACGTGAACAATTAAGGCTCCACTATTGTTCCTTTACTAAGCGTCATGGCCTCTAGGCCGTGCCGGTGACCGCTCAGCCCTTCTGAAAGACTCGAGGTGCTGCGCATATTCGATCCCAAGTTCTATCTAAGCAAACAACGATTAATTTTGTTAGCATTCGACATACTTTCAATAATTTTGAACTTAAAGGCGCTGGGCCAATTTCTATGCAGCACTTAATGCAATCTATACAAAATAAAAGTAAATCGTATTTTCTTTTACATGTAATCAGTTATTTAATTATTGGTTGGGAGTCGTCACAATTCTCCCGTCCCCAACATGTGCTCTTCTTTTGTCTTGTAAATGTTTGGAATTCAGTAATAGAAATCAAAGTCGTTGTCTCTTGCCATCGCCACCAATGTAGAGCCCCAAGTCTTTTCTGGAGCCTTTAGAAATCATGTATTGTCAATATACTGAGGGCTGGGAGGCTGCTGGCATGGTCCGGTGGCCAAGCCGCCCAGGCAATGTGCAAAGGAGGAGCCTTAAGTGCCGGTGAAACCAAAACGAAGAGCTAAACCAAACTCGAAGTTTCACAATGATAACTTTTATAAGAATTACAGAGCTGTGCTAGTAAATCAAAAGTTAAGAAATTAACGGAATATTTGGATATATTTTGTACCCCCTTTTTTTCAGTTGTTTACCAGATAGGTTGGATTTCATGCATGTTACTAGGCGAAATTTTGTTCACTTTATGTGTATGCATTCGTACAGACGCAGATTAATGCAAAATCATCTCGGGCAGTTAAATGTTAACTTAAAATGGGAACCAAAGCTGAAGTCAAGACATGGGGAGTGTTACCAGCACTGAAGCGGTAAGTGCATTTTCAGTCAAGATGTAAGAACATGTAAATCCCGTGTTATAAATTGCTTATTTGATATTGTTTGAGAAACGTGTTTCTACAAAAAAGGAGGAGATTACGCGCAGATTTCACGGAAAAAATAGCACCACATCCCGAATAAATGCCTAATTACAAATGCCAGGTATCTAATGCGTAGCTAGTTGTAATGACTTGTTTTAAAATGCAGAAGTTTTTCCAACAGATGTACTTGTTCCTATACATGCACGATAAGACGGAACTTGTCGTCACTTTATCCTTCACTATGATTTCTACTACTTCCATCTTATTTGTAGGCTGCATGTTATAAAATTTGGCGGAGGTGGTCCGAGTTTAACTCTGTTCCATATCTGCAGAAAATTCTTTGATTGGTCCTTATACAGCAATTGTCAAGAAATTTGGTGAGCTGTAGCAAAACGCACTACCTAAAATCCAGTGATGTTAAAGGCTTTGTTCTGATGGTAAATTACCACATAAAAGTGTATCATGTACAGGAGGTGCCTTTATTCTTGGTATAATGGGGAGTTATGTCGAGACTGATTAAAGTAAAGCAAGATTAATGTATTACTACCAACTTTCAATGACGCTATAGTTTGTGTGGTGTGTGAAATAATTCATTTGAAGCTATATTAATCAGGTAGTGAAAGTACAAGAAAAGTTTTTCACACGGACATACCACGTACAAGCAGGTGGCAACAAGCCTCAAACACCGTCAGGTAACATTTTGAGGAGAAATGTGTCGTGGAAGGCAGACGCAATTGCTTATTAGGAATTTTTTTCCAAAGATCAAACAACCGTTATGACTGCGACTTTAGAACTGTCAAATATGGCACAAGTGAAACTTGTTCAATGTCATCTTCTTTGGTAGAAATAGCTCAACAGTGCCGTAAAGCTCGGCTGTGAGAAGATACCTCCAAGTTATTGTTACATTCATTGATGCTGACAGAAAAGGATTTTGAGATTAAAAGGGACCAGCTAGGCTTTGACTGTTCTTGACAGCCGGGGCTAAAACTATCCATGTGAGGATAGTTTGTGAGTTTTTATTTAATTAGAATGGGTTACAGGTTGTGGTTTTGATTAGTTGGCTGAGTAAAATAATTTTGGGAGCTTCTTATAGTTAATCATTCTTTTAAAAATGTCGAAACTTATTTAGTTGCATTAAATGTGGACCAAAAGTATTAATTTTGAAAGCATCCAGACTATTGTTAAAGATGTGACACGGCACAAAGATAGGTTGTTATGACGGAACACCTAGAAGCCAAGAGGCACAAGCTTAATGGTTAACACCATCTATATCCAGTGCGTAGGTCGTCACAGGTTGGAATGAGTGGCCATAAATATCATTCCATCGTAAGGATGGCATCATACAGAATACTCGGTATTGTTGAGCAGGTGAAAATTGATCTCGACGCAGAGTATTTTGCCTTAGACTTACTTGTATGCAAGAAAAATAACTTTTGTGACAATAATTTTGGCTGGTTCAGAGAACTAATTGCGCCCATAAATATCCAAGGTAGCAAAATGATTTGAACTAACTTCTACAATCATCCTAATTATCTTTTCAGTCTTATTTTTGACCATTTTAGTTTATATAAACCCTTTGACCACCATCAGAACGCACATGAGGCCAGACTTTCTCAGCAACATCCAGCGTCACAAATAGGTGACGAGTGTCTAAGACAAATAATTGTCCATATTTTAATGTAGATCCAACAAAGGGAGTGTATGATGTTCTTGCTTTGAAATTAATTACGTCTCTTTACTTGTGAGCAGCAGATAACCCGGTAAACACATCAGGTCTGGGATCGCAAATAGTGAACACACTGGAAAACGCATTAACACTGTCCAATATTTCAAATAGAGCCTTTTTTTGTTGCCAGACCTTTTAAGGGCTCCTGATGGTCAAGTCCGCTACTAAGACATTAATGGTTTCGTAATATTCATTTAAACTTTTGAACCAACCCTCGGGATATAAGGCATGTCAAAATACAACGAATTAATTCGTATTCCTAATGTCCCTATTGCTGCCTATTTTTACCTATTTGGGGATTTTTATCTCCTACTGTGAGTTTAAATTAAAATTATTCTGTCCTAAAGAGAAAAAACAATAAACGACCTAAAGTTGAATATTTTTATTGCAAAATTAGGCCCTATTGGGTGATTATTTCATTAAATCATTCAATCTGCATTATGAACACAACTTGCGAATAAAATGCCAATATATTTTTAGCATTTGCTAATGGTTTTAAACCAGAAATGCCTCAAAG